AGTGTGGTCTGGTAGCCTCTAGGGGACAGCAGTGAGCAGCTTATATTTGGCTTCTGACCACATGGAGTTTGGATCTTCCCTACATCTGTTTGTTGAAAGTGTTAACCTAATGATCTGCGTTGCTGATGAGGGATGACTATACAGGAAAGTTAGGGAGTAAGGTTGAAAAAATTCATAAAATATGTCACACTTTCATCTCCAGCCTCGTCAAAGTTGACATAATGACAGTAGTTATAAAATAGCACCATTTACTACGCAGTTATTGGATGCCAGCCTTTATTCTTGGTGCTAATTGTTATTTCTTCGTTTAATTGTTAGAACACTCCTGTGAGGTAGGTGGTGTTGTCGTACCCATTTTGCAGAATATACAAGCGAGGTTAAGAGAGGCCAAGTACCTGTCCAAGGCTGCTTTTCGAGTCCAAACTCTGGTTTGGAGTGCCCTCTCTTGCCTGCTCCCCTCCAACTCACTCCTTCCTGCAGCCATGAGTGAGACTCACCTCCCAGGGCTAGGAAAGTTCTTGTCTGTCCCTTCCTGCCCACAAAGGGTAGTTTGCCCACTTAATGCAGTTGCTTCCTTTTTTAATGTTTAATTTTAAATTCATATTAATTTGTAATTGACAAGTGGAAATTATATGTGTTTATGGTGTACAACATGATGTTTTGAAATCTGTATAAATTGTGAGATGGCTGAATTTAACTAATTAACATATGCGTTACTTCACATAGGTATTTTTTATTGTGCGAGCACTTAAAATCTGCTCTCCTAGTGATCGCCAAGCATCCATCGTTGTTATTAACTGCAGTCCTCATGTGTGCAGTAGATCTCTGGAATGTATTCCTTCCATCTAACTGAAACTTGGTCTCCTTCGGCCAGTATCTCTACCTCCTCCACCCCCAGCCACCATCTCCCTGTTTTTGACTGGAGTAAGGAAGGGGCTGATGAGGCAGCTCTCATTTCATCTTTCCTTCTCTCCCACGTGGTTCATGCTTTCTGCTCAGTCAGGCCCTCACAGCTCGGAAAGCAGATTTGGAAGCATGTTGAACGGTCCCCTCGAGTTAAAACTGACGTCAACTTGGATGTGTCATTTGAGACTGATGTGTGTGCTTTAGGGAATAAATGATTTGTGCTGGAAAGAAATCATGCAACTGAAAGTGACAGGGCCTCTCTGTCGTGCTGCTCAAAGCAGTTTGTATTTAGGGACCCAAGGAGAATGCAGGACTAGAAAAAAACGAAAGCGGAGTCTGCCGGTAGCCTTCTGCCCAGCTTCCAGTAGGACTGGTGAAAGTTTCATTCTAATAAATATTAAAGATCTTGAAAATATAAGAAGTATTTCCATTCAGAAAACTCTAAGTCCCTTTGAAGAAAAGAAAGAGGACTCTGATGGTTGGTTCTTTTAATATTAAAAGCAGTATAGGTGTATTTACTCATTAGCAGATTAATCACAGCAGTTTCTTTTGGAGGCAGAGCAAGGAGCCCAGGACATGCCCAGCAGGGGCTCTGAGGGTTGGATGAAGCCAGAAGGGGCCAGTGTAGCTGGACACGAGATTTGGAGATCTTCAGATTATGGCCATGGTGAATGATCTACTTTTATTCCTCTGTTTTCCCATGTCTTCTTCCTTCTCCCTTGCCTTAAAGATTTATTATATCTTGCTTTGGGTTATATTTTAATTTTCCTTTCCTCCTTGATAAAATCAGTCAAGATGCCTCACTGCTGTCCCTTTGCCTTCTCAGCTTCCAACTTCTTTCTCACATACTTTGGATTCCTATTTTATTTTATGTTCATCACCAGCCCCGGTCCTCCAGCACATGGGCGCACGCATGCACACACACACACACACACACACAAACATATACACATCTACACACAGGGGTTAATAGAGTACTTAACTGGTGATATGCAGGATAAATTGCAATGTATTGATTTATTTATCTTATTTATTATTTATTTATCTTTGAGTTGAAGTCTCCCTTTGTCGCCCAGGCTGGAGTGAGTCCAGTGGCATACTCATGGCCACCTCAGCTTTGGCCCGCTGGGCTCAGGTGATCTTTCCACCTCAGTCTTCCAAGTAGCTGGAATCACAGACACATGCCACCATGCCCAGCTAATTTTGGGATTTATTGTAGAGATGAGGACTCGCCATGTTGCCCAGGTTGATCTAGAATTCATGGGGTCAGGCAGTCCTCTAGCCTCTGCCTCTCAAAGTGCTAGGATTACAGGCATGAGCCGCTGCATCCAGTTGTTTATTAAATAAAGGAAACTCTTAGGCTAAACAGCAAAACTTAAGGAACTAGTTATACACCAAACTTTAAATGTGGCCTAATTAGACAGTAATTTATAAAATATGCAGTCTTTTACATGTGTAGATAATCTTTTAATTTTGTGACTTAATGCTATTTGAGTAGCTAATACATTAACATCTTTTAACAATCAAATAATTATGAAAAGTTACAATTGAAAAGTCTCACCTCCAACCCTCTTCCGGACTTCCCCTCCCCTGCAGATACTCAGTGATTTGACTTCCCAGGGCGTCTGATGCTCAGATAAACACATAGAGCCTTTTTATTTAGAAGGTAGCATAGCAAATACTATTCAATATATGTTGGTCTGCACTTGATTTTGTTCACTTAATATCCTGGAGGTCTTTTCACATTAGTGCAGCAGAAGTCTCCACATTTGGGGGTCAAGAGAGCTGCGCAGAATTCTGGTGTGTAGATACCCTAAAGTTCAATTATACCATAGCTGATGGACTTTTGGGTTGTTTCCAGACTTTTGCCTAAAAACGATGCTACAATAATCTATATAATCTGTACCTAGACCATCTAATTCGTTTTCAAATATATCTGTCAGGAGAATTTTCCAGAAGTGAGATTTCTGGGTGAAAAGGAAATGCATTTGTAATGTGGAATGATGGTGCCAACTTGCCCTTTATGAATGTTGTGCCATTTTCCCCGCCCATCAGTAAGATACAAGACTGCCTCTCTCCCCACGCTGATGCCAGCAGAGTATGTATCAAACCTTGGGAATTTGATCAATGTGCATGGGTGTAAAAATTAGTATCTCAGTATAGTTTGCTTTCATTTTTCTTATTGTGAAGTTAGGATTTGTTTCTAATGTTTAATGGCCATTATATTTCTTTTTACCGTAAATGGTCTTTTTGTGTCTTTTAATCATTTTTCTACCAAGTTGTTTGGTGTTTTTCCTTCTTGATTTCTAGCCATTACCTGTGCTATAAGTTACAAATATATCTTCCTAATTCATTATTCATTTTCTGTCTTCATTTCATTATTCTCCTCCACTTTTTTGAGAAAAATGTGAAGTACAAGGCAGCCCTTGCTTCCCATAGCTTTGTGGAGCCTTAAAAATGACCATGCAAGCTGAAACCATGCAAAGCAATCTTAATCAGTAGGGATAGTCACAGTTGCCTCATGACTTCTTAAAGTTTTTGTTGAGACATTTAAAACTCTCCTACTGTCATCTATAAATATATATGGAAATAATAAGTTAGAAAACCTACATGCATTATTATACCATAACATGAGGAACGCTGAGAGTCAAAGGACCTTGACAAGAGTGACCTGAACAGTGCTTGCCACTTTCTCAGACTTTGCAACACAGCTGGCATCTTTTCCAGACCTGGGCAACTGCCATGATCCTTCTAAGTCTGAATCAGCTGCCAGCATTTTAGCCTTTGTTTTCTCATGCTGTGTAATTCTGTGCCTGTGTCCCTTCCTCTGGAGCCTCATTCTTCCTCCTCCTCCTCCTTCCCGTCCTTTCCTGACACCCAGTCCCCTTGTGGTATTGGCCTTCCCTCTCCAAGGGCAGCAGTGCTAATGTTCCCATGGGCAACTCTTTCTTCTGTAGCTCCATTGACATTCGGTTCAGATTTCACTTTCCTTGTTTTCACTTTTAGTATTTTTGCTGTATTTCGTGTTTGTTGGACAATTTCCTCTTTCAGTTATCCGTTTTTATAAAATATCACATGGGTTTATCACTGGGAGACAGGGAGGCACCACTACATGCTTTGCTGTCAGTATGTGAACTGAATGACAAATGCATGGTGATGAGTCACCAGTAGACACTGGGAGATGGGATGCGATCGGTCCCTGGTCATGGTGCACAGGCATCAGTTATCCCCATAGAGCTTTCCGAAGAGCAAGCAGTCAAGAGTACGCTTCATGCAGTCACTCACAGGTAAGGCACTATGGCCACTCTGCTGTGGGCCCATGGATTGAACCATGCTATGGGTAACTGAGATTATTTAACTGAACTGTAGTCACTTAAATTTGTGCATATTAAGCCACACAAAGAGTAACGTAACAGACATCTGTGTACTCCTCTCTGAGATTTGACAATTTAGGATTCTGTTACGTGTGCCTCAGTGATTTTTAATAAAGGAAATACATCATTACGAAGAAGACTGAAGTCCTCCCTTGTCCTTCCACTCCCATGACATTCCTTTCTTATACTCCAAACTCACATATCATCATGAATTTTAAAGACTGTTTTTCATATCCGCCCTCTGTCCCTTCTTCCTTCTCTTCCCTCCTCTCTCTCCCCCCTCCCTCCTTCCCTATCCCCATGCTCTCCCCCTCTCTTGGTCATTTATATCTTTAGTATCTATACATCTAAGTGTTTCATTGAGAAATATGTACCCTTTGCGAGTTGCCTTTTTACTTGCACCATAATTAGTGCTTTCCGTTTGTCATGCTTTTCCTTCGTTCATTGTAGTCTCATTTCCTTTTTGAATTAAACTTTTTTTCTCTCCTCTTCCCTCCCTTTTTTAGAAGTCATGTTTTCTATTTTATTCTATTTCTATTCAATAAATGGAATAGTTCATATTTTTATAAGATTAAATCACATATAGATGAGTGATAGTAATGACTATTCTCTTTGTGGAAGTCACCAAGGCCTAGAGATACCCATGTCTGTTATGTCATACTTCTGTAACTGTTTTCCTGATATGTTTAACAACCCTTGTGCTGTTTGTCTTCCAGGTTTATTCAGGAGATTGAGCATGTCCTGGGACTTGGTCCAGCCAAACAGTGTCCTCTCCGGGAGTTTCTCACCATGTACATCAAAAACATCTTCCTCAACCAGGTCTTGGCTGAGATCAACAAGGAGATTGAGGGAGTCACCAAGACGTCTGACCCTCTGAAGATTCTAGCCAACGCAGATACCATGAAGGTGCTGGGTGTGCAGCGGCCTCTCCTACAGGTAGCAACATATTCTGAACCCACTGTTTTTGTCAGCAATTTTATTGACTTGGCAAGAGTCATAAATTATAAAAAGAAGGAGAATTACCATCTGTTCCTATATTCATCAGGGACAAAACAAGAGAAATTACACGGGTGCTAGGGAAATTTCTGTCTAATATAATTGGGTAAGAAAAAAATGGCTGACTTTGGGTCTGGGAAATGGTGGGTCTCGTGAACATGCAGGCAGTCCCTCATGTGATGCCTGGGATCTTTGTTGTTGTTTTGTTTGTCTGTTTGTTTGAGTTGGAGTCACCCAGGCTGGAGTGCAGTGGCATGCTTGTGGCCACCACAGCCTTGAACTGCTGGACTCTGGTGATCCTTCTGCCTCAGCCTTCCAAGTAGCCAGAAGTCCAGGCACAAGCAACCATGCCCAGCTAATTTTTTAATTTATTGTAGAGATGAGGTCTTGCCAAGTTACCCGGGCTGGTGTCAAACCTTCACTTCGGCCTCCCAAAGTGCTGGGATTACAGGCTTGAGCTACTGCTCCCAGCCTGCCTGGGATCTTTGAAAGGAATTATGTCTCCATGGGTGAATCCGTCCCAGAGCGTGAAGGCACAGCAGGAAAGAAGATACCCTGCCTAGCCTCAGCAACCAGCAGGAAGCCCACTACATTCCTGTTAAACAACTCAGCTAATCTGAACCAGTAAACTGGCTTTTATTTGTTTCTGGGTTTTTTGTGTTGTTATTTTTTGTTTTAAGTCGTGGTCTCACTCTTTCACCCAGGCTGGAGTGCAGTGGCACAAACACAGCTCATGGCAGCCTTGACCTTCTGGGCTCAGGCGATCCTTCCACCTCTGCCTCACAAGTAGCTGGGACTAGAGGTGCATACCACTTTACCCAACTATTGTTTTGATTTTTTTGTAAGTCTTGCTATATTGCCTAAGCTGCTCTCAAACTCTTGAGCAATCCTTTTGCCTTGGCATCCCCAAAGTTACTGGGATTACAGGCATGAGCAACCACACACAACCTAAATTGGTTTTTAAAAGTCAGATTAACTAATTCAAGTGATGATCTTGTTAATATTGAAAATTTTACTTTATATAACAAAATGGTTTCTGAGCAACAGAAAAATTAAAATAATATTTCAGTAGATAATTTTTATTGATAAGTTTGAGGTATATATTTTATATATATTTTAGCTAATGACTTGGAGGTAAATATAAAACTAAATGTAAAATTAGACTGAGTTTAAGTTACTGAGATATGTTAAATATTGTCACACTGTAAATGAATCCTTATAAGTGTTTCTTCATTTGTAAGTGTATGGCAGGCACAGCAACACATTGTTCATAGGTTGTAGGATATGAGACTATTCAAAGGGCAGAGCCTTGGACTGTTCAGAGAGAAGCCACGTAAGTGAACGGGATTATACCTGTTCAGTTACCTGCCCTTCCCTGGCTTTCTCGATGTCTCTCTTGATGTTCCTTCTTTGTGCATTGGATTAACAGAAGTGCTAGACCTTTCCCAGGGAGGTATTTTGACTATGAGCAGACTCCTCTAGGATGTTGAGAAAATGGAGCAAATGCACCATACCTAGGCAGGTGTTCATCCGGATGGCCTGTGTCGGTGCCAGACACAGCTGGCAAGGGCCCTGCTGAGTGTGGGGTGTGAGAAGGGGGAAGGTGCAGGCATGGCTCGCCCTTCCTCTGGCTGTGTTGCTCTCTACTGACTCTTTGCATGTCTGGGACCTTCTCTCCAAGTGTCTTATCCAGCGTCCCCTCACGGAAGCCTTCCCTGACTATCCTGCTAAAGAAGCCCCCTTTCCTGGTTATCCTCTACTCGCCCCTCCTCCTTCACCTCTCCCATCCATTATCAATACCAAGGCCAAACCCTATGGACTGTGTCATGGAGGCTCCCTGGCCTGGTGGCTTCGGGTCAGGTCTGCCAATAGGAAGCACGAGCAGGAGATGGGCAGGTGAGAGGAGAGAGAAGTGGGTGGCTTCCTGTCCCCTCCTCTTCATTAGGGTCATGGTCCTGGCCATATGGCCATCCTCCGTCCCCAGAGGCCCTGCCAGGTGTCACTGCCTCATGGTGCAGCACCCACAGGCTCTGGCAATGCCATTTCTTCCCCTTGCCTCTTGATTTCAGCTTTCTCTGGGGCCTCAATGCCCTGTTGCTTCTCTGAGCCCACCCATACCCCATAAGGTACCTCTTCACTGATGATCCCGATGAACTCTTTTTTCAGGATCCCAATAGATCTTCCCAGTTAATTGATATTTTTGCATGTTGTTTTTTTCTTCTTAACACTTATCACAGCTATAATTATTAATTAATTTTGCTAATTTCTCTTTTGTCTTTTTCCAGTATAAAGTTCCAAAAACATATTATAGTTCCAGACAGCAGGAAGGTGCTCAGGAAGTCACTTGAATGAATGAATGCATGCTTGCATGTGTAGAAGGAAGGAAAGAAGGGAGGGAGAGAGGGAGCGAAGGAGGGAGGGAGAGGGGGGAGGGAAGATGAATGGATGGGTGGATGGATGGATGGATGGTTGGATAATTGGGTGGACAGATGGATGGAAGGGTGGAAGGGTGGATGGACAGAAGCGTTGATGTGTGGTGGGTGGGTGGATGGATGGATGGATGGATGGATGGATGGATGGATATATGGTTGGGTGGGTGGACAGATGGATGGGTGGGTGGATGAGCAGATGGATGGACAGATGGATGCATGGGTGGAAGGATGAATGGGTGGATGATGGAAGGATGGATGGATGGATGGGTGGATGGGTGGGTGGGATGGATATGGAGAATAAATTTTGAGAGCCACAAATACCTTTAGAGTCCGAATAGGAAGATGAGAAATAGGGTGAAAAATAGTTTATGCTTATGTTCTGTCTGACCATACCATTAGCCTCATTTCCCTCAGACAACCTTCCAGTGTTTATTTTTCTGAAGTGTCGTGCTATGTGCTATACAGGCCAGCTTTGCTATGCTTAGTGTACTGAATTTAAAAGAACAAAAACAAAAAGACAGCAGTGCAGTAAGGGTGAATCTGTGAACTAAGGATGCTGACTTACTAAATGTGGTAGTTTTCAGCTTAAGTAGCAGAGGCACATTACAACTTGTAATTCGTTGACTACAACCTGGGCCATGTCAGGACCACACACTGCAGCACACTGGGCAGTGTGTCCATGTGTCTGGCAGGTCCCTCCCAACCTTATCACCAACCTTTTGTCTTGTAAATCATTTACCCCATTCTGAGGTGGAGTAAGAACTCCAGCTTTACCTGGACCTTGTTGAGATACATTAATAATGGGTATAATAATATATAAGTGAGTAAATCTTGAGACTGAGGCTATTCAAGCTGTTCACCTGCAAATCTGTTTTCAGAGCTGAAATACCTGCTTCGTTGTTTAATTATTTATTGCCCTCTTTTTTCATAAAAGTTTTATTTTATGAAAATGCAAATTAATTAAAGCACATCAATAAATTTGTTTAATATTCTCAGAGTTGTAAGGTTTAAAAAAATAAATGAGGAGATGGTTATTTTTCTTTCCCATCTTGAGAAATTCTCTTGCTTTATGATTGTAAATTGTTGCTAGAGTTTAATTCTCTCTTTCTTTTTTTGTTTTCCTCCACATGCACAAGTTAATTTCATTCTTTCTTAAATGTGTTTCTATGTCTCCTTGATAATTTTAGGCCTGGCTACTTGTAAGTGGCTAATCTGAAGAAAAAGTAAGAATTCACAAACATTTTAGCTAGGATCCAACAAATGTTACCAAGGTTCTTGGAGGCATACGTGTGAGAGATATGTGTGCATTTGGCATTCAATTACAGGAAGTATAAGCATGTTCCCTGAAGTCATCTGCCTGCTAGATGACCGTCTGGTCCCAGAGCAGAGGTGAGGCTGTGCCTCCCCCAGCCAGGACCCATTTCGTGGGACATCAGCCCGGCCTGGTTCTCCTGGAAGGTGGAAGGACAGCTGTCATAGTGCTGCTTCCATCTGGTGATGATGGACAGATATAGTGCCTGGTAACCCTCAAAGGAAACCCTAGGATGCGTTGTCCTTGCCTTTCTGAAATGGTGTCTAGGCAGCACAGATGCTCGGGTTATGAGAGGATGTTTTTGTGGGTGCTCACAGGCATTCATGTCACGATTTTACTTTCTAGCCACAGATTCCACAGGAGGGAGGGAAGGGGGAGCAAGCAGGTGACACAATCATGCAGGTGCTGGGCCCATGATACATCGGAGGAGCCCCGGAGGGTGAGTGAAGGAGCAGTGACTGCAGTTGCAGTGACTGCAGCCTTCACTGCAAGTCGGACACTAGTTGGAGTGTGCCTGTGTGTTGACTTCCAGGTGCTGTGAGTGTGGCAACAGCTCTGTGAACATGGCATTCTTTCATGATGAGGAAGCTGAGGAGCAATGAACTCAAATACCTTGCCCCAGTCACATAGCTAGCAAGTGGTAGAACCATAACTGAAGCCCAGCAGTCAAACTCCAGAGCTGTACTCTGAGCCCCGTGCAAGGTAGAGTCTGGATTCTGCAATGAGATTTAGAGAATTTAAGAGCAGGTATCTAGAACTTTTTTTTTTAAGCAATGGACGTCGCCTGGTGAATGTAATAATATAATAATACATCAGACCTTATGTTTTGTATGTCTTTGTGGGTGTTAAAATTTCTTTTTTCTAGCAATTCATTTTTATGATGTTTGATAAAGGTGTCAGTCTGCAACAGACTGGTGGAAGACTGTGCTCACCTGTAGTTGGAGAGGTCCTGCTCTAATTCCCTCACTCCCTACCCACATGCCCCACGGAGAAGCTAAGCACAGATCCTCTCTTGCCTCCATGACCAATGCACTTGATAACAGGTAGAAGCCCTGGGTGTTGGTTGCAGATGGTTTTCTCCTAAATCCCCCACTCCTAACACAGCATCTGAATGGATGAGGGTATGAAAATGAAAGCCCTGACAATGGCTTACATGTGTGCGTGTTTCCGCCATGGTGTGGGAATCATGATCTGGA